ATATCTATTTTGTGCCACACTGGGTCATTCTTTTTCCTTTATTAATGTTTAATATGTTTTCCTTTTTTAATAAATACTTGTTGAAATCACTCAATATGGCAGGTTCTATATAAGCCTAGATGAGTTAAAGTGATGAGACCACAGTTCATCACTCTATAGCTAACCACATTTTTACCAAAGATAATTACACTAATTCATTTTTAGAATAGGTCTAATGTCATTAAATTTGCCCTTAGTATTTATGTAAGTCCAACAAGAATATGATTGATTATGTAGGCTGCTTTTTCCCTAAGTGAGGGTCTCACTAGAGTGCCGTGACACAATCATTGCTCAATATAACCTCAAATTCCTTGAATTCAGATGAACCCATGATTTCCTGCCATCTCAAACTTTATCTACCTGAGGCCTCCTACTGGACCCAGTCCAGTCTATTTTGGACCCAGTCTGACACTTCCAGACCTAGTCTGGATGAGAGATATACTCAAAGCTGGAAAGCTCAGATCCAGTGGTGATCTCCGAATGCACAGGGAGAAGCAGCGAGCACAGGGCCTCAGTGGAAGATACTCAGCCTGATGACCCAGTGCCCGTGGGGGTCATGAGCAGGGGGCCTTCTTAGGTCCCTCTACTGATACTTCAACTCTTAAGAGATAAATGTAGGTGAATTAAAATTTTAATGAGATTATTTGAGCATTTAGCTCAAATATCTGGATCAGGCAGCACCAAATCACAAGTAGCAAAGGCTTCACCAAGGTGAGGGGAAACTTATAAGTTGTTTGGAACAAAGCAAGACAAAGATTTTTTTGAGACAGAGTCTTTCTTTGTTGCCCTCGGTAAAGCACTATGGCATCACAGCTCACAGCAACCTCAAACTCTTGGACTTAAGGGATTCTTTTGCCTCAGCCTCCCAAGCTGAGGACTACAGGCGCCCACCAGAACGCCCAACTATTTTTTGCTTGAAGTTGTCATTGTTGTTTGGCAGGCCCAGGCTGGGCTTTAACCTGCCAGCTTCCATGTATGTGGCTGGTGCCCTAGCCGCTGAGCCAAAGGCGCCAAGCCCAAGACAAAGATTTGATTGGTTAAAATAGAAAGCACGTAGGGACTGTTGGCAGTTTCTGGATAAATTTCTAATGGAAGTTAGTTGGTGGGTTTTTTCATTTTTGTTTGTTTGTTTGTTTGAGACAGAGTCTCACTTTGTTACCTTTGGTAGAGTGCTGATGCATCATAGCTCACAGCAACCTCAAACCCTTGGGCTCAAGCATCCTCTTGCCTCATGCTCTTGAGTAGCTGGGACTACAGGTGCCTGCCACAACACTTGGCTATTTTTGGAGACATGGTCTCACTCTGATTCAGGCTGGTCTTGAACCTGTGACCTCAGTCACTCCACCTGCCTCAGCCTCCCAAATGCTAGGATTACAGTTGTGAGCCACCTCATCCAGCTAGTTGGTGTTTTTTGATTGATTTAGTTTAAGTTTCCTTTCACTATTCCCGTGGAGTTGGAGTTCAGTTTGCTCATGCAGGAACCCAAGGCCCTGGAGCCATCTTAACCTAAAGGCCTCCCAATTAATTTCTTTGCTTAACTATTTTTTTAATTTTTTTATTCTTTAGAAATTGGGTCTCACTGTGTGACCCAGGCTAGGGTACAGTGATTATTTATAAGTGCAGTCATGGCAAACTACACCCTTGAATTACTAAGCTCAAGCTGACCTCCTGCCTAAGCCTCCTAAGTAGCTGGGATTATAGGCACATGCCACTGTGGGCTATGAGTTTCTTTTTGACACCATAAAAATTAAAAATAAATTGGTTTTTGAATTTAATTAGCCAAATTTATTTTTCTGATTAAGCTAAGCAAGTGCATTGTAATGAAAGGGAAAGGGTCATCGTCCTCAGTCTCAAGAAATTCTGCTCACCCTCCTATTCCTACCCATCTTGAAGCAGCAATTCATTTATTTTAATTATCTGGTAAGGAATAGGGGAAACTTGACTTGCGCAGTCGCCGTCGTCCTTGTGGAAGGCCATGGTGGTACCTCAGCTGCCGCGGTCGGGTTCCGCTGGGCTATGTACGGCCCAGGACACTGCAGAAGTGGTCATGGTGCCGACCTCCAGGGCTGCCAAAGGCCTCAGCAATGGGACGGGTGGGACCTCGATGCCATCCAGCAGTACACTCTCCCTCAAGCTGCGTGGAGACCAGGAGAGACAACGACAAGGATTGGCACCAGAGCTCAGTGAGTAGGGCGCCAACCACATATACCAAGGATGGCGGTTCCAGCCCAGCCCGGGCCTGCTAAACAACAATGACAACTGCAACCAAAAAATGGCCCTGTGTTGTGGCAGGCGCCTGTAGTCCCAGCTACTTGGGAGGCTGAGGCAAGAGAATCCCATAAGCCCAAGAGTTGGAGGTTGGTGTGAGCTGGGAT